CATCCTGCCCCAGTGCCCCCATCCTCCCGGTGCCCCCATCATCCCAGTGCCCCCCATCCCCATATACCCGGACTGCGTTCCTGCCCGGGGGACTGCACACTCTCTCCCATCCCCAGACCAGCTCCTGACGGGCTGCCCTAAACGCAGCCCTAGTCCAGCCTATGGGCTGTGCACCACCCCAACGCGCTGCCCGTTCCCATGCCAGCATGGATTTTGGGGAGCACTGAAAGAGTGAGCCCCAGCTGCTGGGCTGTCCCTACCTCCAACACACAGATTTCCCCAAGGGTCCGTGGGGTGTTTTGGCAGCCAGGTTAAGCCCCCCAGACCTCCCTGGACCAAGCGTCACAGCTGCCTGGGATGGAGGGTACAGAAGAGCAACCGGGAATTATCAACAGAGCCCATGCACCGCAACCAGATTTATTAAGTAAAGCCATTTTGCTGAGGCCAGGTGTGACCCTGCTGTCTGCCCGGGCCCTCCTGGCATGCGAGGAGCAGTTCGGGTTCGGGACAGGCTATGGTGGTTAATGCCGGCACAGGGATGGGGCAGCATGGAGCTCGCTCAGCTGCAGGACACCAGTCCCTTCACGGTTCAGCCACCCTCTCCCATTGCTCAGCTTCAGCAGCAGCCACCCCAGCTTTCTCAGAGGGCAGCTCGTGGTGGAAACAGGGGCCTTGCTTGTGCTCTTACACAGGGGCTGCACTCACCCCCGACACCCTTCAAAACACACAGATTTAGCCCCAGGGTCCTCTTTCTCTGCTCCCCTCTGAGGATTTGGACCCAGGCAGCAGCACTGCCACCCTTAATTGCATTTTTCAGGCAAAGCTATGAAAGCTGAAACAAGAAAACAGAGGGAAAAGGTCTTTCTAGCACTAGATGAGACCAAGGGAACGTTTTTTGGAAAATCCTAATGAAATAATTGCGCCGTGTCATCAGATTCAGTGGGGGAATACTCTTGTGGAGGGAAAGCAACTGCCTGCAGCCGGCCAAAGTCAACACTCCCCTGTGCAGTAACAGGCAGTCTGGCCTGACGGGCCCAGCACAAGTGAACCCAAACCCCTGAAAAGAATTCCTTCCCTGCCCCAAAATTAAAAGCAGAGCAGAGCTTTCAGCCGTAGGCGTCTGTGGTTTGCAGCTATGTGGTGCCGGGAACTCCGGAGACTTCCTCAAGGAATTTACATTCCTTTGAAGAAATACTATGAGGCTGTTTGTCTTTGCTGAAAAATGCAGATGGAAAGAAAAAGAGCATTAAAAATTTTGATTCAAATCTTTGGGGTCTGAGCAAATGTGCAGGACAGGTGTTTTCTTCCTTTTGATTTAAATGCATCCCAAAAAAAGAGGTATTCTGGTCTCCGTGAGCAATGGGAAAGCCGATCGCTCCTCGCTCCAAAATCTCCCATAAAAGCCCTTTATGAAATTAGATGCCTCAGAAGGCTCTGGAGCAGTTTCCAGACGAACGCGATCATTATTTCAGAGCTGCCGTGCAGCTCCTGGGCTAAAAACCACGCTGCCAATAACCCAGTTAGTGCAATTTGGGGGGGGGGGACGGGAGGACACGGGGACCTGTAGCACCTCCCAGCAGCCACTTCTGAGGGCTGCGGGTGTCCCCATGGCCACTGCCGTGGGGATCGGGGTCTGAGTGCGAGGGATCTCGGTGCCTGGGGAGCTGCACGAGGCTGCGGCCGGCCGTGCCTGGGATGGGCAGAGCTGCGCGGGCTGCTGGAAATCTGCTGCTCTTTATTTACCAGCAAAAAAAACCTCCCACTCTGGCCTGGCTTGAAGCAAATGGCAATTCTTTTTGTGCCCTTCCAGGCTGTCGTTTCTGGGCTTGGCAGGTGAAATGGTGGTGATTGCGCAGCTGAGGGGGCTCCGCAGCCCACCCTGGGCTCAGACCCGAGTATCTCCTGCAGCATCAACTTCCAAAGCTGCAAACTTTCCTTCTAGGATGAAAAGGAAGTGTTTAACCAGAATTTTAGCTACCCAATAACTAAAAATACTGTCGATAGCCACTGTATACAGGGTCCCTGCTTTTAAGGCATGCGACTTTGCCCTCCCAGAAAGCCCGTCTCTTTTTAAGCCTCTCAGACCGATCCATGCAGGCCCCCATGGCATTGGAAATCTTTTCCCCTGCCTGTACATCACAGCCTGTTTGTCCCTGTTATTTACTTTTTAACTGCCCGCACACAGCCAGGACAGAGCAGATAGAGTATCTTATCAAGATCCTCCTTCCATAAAGGACTTTCCACCGAGCCGGGCGTGCTCTGCTTAATCAGCAACCAAACAATAGGCACATTGATGCAGCGCGGGGGCCGTTGCTGCGGGCAGGGGGAAGCAAATCAGAAGGATCCCATGTTATTTGATAACGATGGAAAACTAGTTTCAAACGATGGGAAACGCCAGGCTGCTCCCCACAGAGCAGACTGCAAATCCGTGGGGCACAGGAGTTGTGCTCACAGCGATGCTTCCAAGCGATGGGATTGACAGGAGCCCTGGGAGGGGTTCGGCTGCAGGGATTAATGCTGATGGTACGTCGCTGAGTTTTCATCGGCTTTTACAACCCTGCTGCCGCCGCCGCCCTTGCGAACTGCTGAGCCACAAGCTGAAGTTTTCCCAGGGACTGGGGAAGCCCCATGTGCCACAAGTGACAAAGGCTGATTTTCCCTTCCTGATGGCAGCCCTGCGGGCTCCCCGTGTCCTGCTGGGAACAGGAGGGCACAGCCACTTCACGGGGGCCTGAGCACAGGGAAACCGCAGTACTTTGGGTCCTGGTGACCCTGTACCCCAGGCGAGGCAAGGGCCCGGGGAGCAGCCCCCTGCCCTGCTCCCAGCAGGGACACACCCCCTCCCAGCACTCCCCGATGACCCTGCGATCTCGAAGGCAAGGCCAGCAAAGCACTCGAGCCCACGTGCTCCCACCTGGACTCCATCGGGCCCACGTGCTCCCACCTGGACTCCAGCTCAGGCCCAGCAGAGCTGCTCTGGCTGAGAGAAGGGAACGAGCACAGGCTTTAACCTAGAAATTGTGGGTGACGGTAGCAGTAGCTGGTGTAACCGGCCCCAGCGGAGCAGGCACGCAGAGGAATGCCTTCTGCCAAACGCCTCTTCTGACACAGCCTAAAGACAAACGCTTCAGCTCATTTTCCTAAGCGCAGCAGAGCCGTGGCCTCATGCTGCCGAACAGCATCCGCGTCTGCCGCCCGCCCGGCTGCGGCCAAGAAAAGGCTTGTGGAGACTTGGACATCGTCACTCAGATGCTCGAATTCATGGCTGTAAATCTGGTGAAAGAAATAAACACCCGTGTCGCCTGGCGCGTGCTGCTGCTGCCCAAGGGCGGAGGGGGCAGGACCGGCAGAGCAGTAGGAGAAAAGCAAATGAGTCATGAATTCTCCAAGTGAAAGAAACTCCTCCAATGTCATGCATCGTGTGGAAAAAAGGCACTACCTCTTCCTTTCAAAGGAAAAATTAGGATCTCTCAGAAATCTCTCCAGCAGTTACAGTCAGCAGAAACGATCTGATTATGTAGGAGCACGAGGTCAGCTCTGCTGAACTGCCTGCACGGCGCGGGGAACGGCTGCCCACGCAGGGGCTGCCGGTGGAGCGACAGAAGGTGGAAAAGCCAGAAGAGAAGCGGGAGGAGAGAGCAATGGAGACGGACCGCATGGAGCCCTGGGTCCAGCGTGTTTTGGGTGAGGTCCATCCCAGCCCTGGGGGTTTCAGTTGTACAGAAAACACCCAGCAGATCAACATCAGTAACCATTTAATTCAGTTTAGTGTCACACTCCAACATACAGCCAGAATTACGCCTCGGCCAAAAAACGTAAAAAGTGGCATTTTATAGAGAAAAAAAATCATCCATTACTCCCCAGAGATGTAAACCCCAAACAGCTAACATACACATACAGATGTGCCAAATCTGATAAACACCCAAGAGCCAGGGGGACAAAACCCTTACACCAAAAGTAGAAAACTGCAGACTTGCACTCTAAAAGTGGAACTCCAAACACCCAGACCTGTAGCATTCTTCAAAGGCTAAAACTAAAAATTAATTTTTCCTTTTATTTCTTCTTATCTCCAGAACGAAACGGGTGAAGCCTTCAGGGAAAGACACGTGGCGATAACCTGAACATCATCTGCAGCTATTCATAATTTAGTTGGAGAGTCATCCATAGACAGAGCAAAGAAAGATTAATCTAAAATAAATTATTCATCCCCCCACAGGAATAATGAATCTCTGCAAACCCGTGTTCCCTCCTGCCCAGCTATTGCATTTGATAACGTGTGAACCATCCTGCACATGCACCTTGAGATAATCTGTCCTTGGGGAACAGCCGTTCACAATCCCGACGTGCTTTAAACACTGTTCCTTCTTTTGTCACCCAACGTGAAATCAGGAGAGGAAATAAATGAAGCAGCAGCGGGACTGGGGAAGATTTGTAAAACTGGAGTGACGAGAAACTGCTGTCCCTCCCCACAACTGTTGTGTTGTTACCGCTGCTCTGCAGACGGACATCACCACTACGGCTCTCTGCAGCCGAGCACCCGCATGCCGCAGCCAGTGCCCAAGCCTGGGGATGCCTGAAAAGACATCCTGAAAAGTTGGTGTTAGCATACCTGTCAGCACACCTTGCTGCTGCAGCAGATGGCTCTGAGCAGCGTTAGAGAACCTGATCAGGGAGGACTTCATCTCTGTGGATTTATTCTTTCTGCTCAAATCCTGTGATCAACTCCTGCCCGTTCAAGCGCAGGCTGACCTGCCAGCTGCGCAAAGGGAGAACAGGATTTTACCAAACCGGGCACCAAATTTGCCCTCCCACAGCCACAGGGCTGAGGAGAGGATGGTGCTGAAGCACGAAGAGGCGGACACAGCATCAGCCCAGGCTCTGCCTCACTCGGGGATTTCTCATTTCACCTCCTCCCTCCCCAGCCCCAGCAAAGCTCTGGGTTTGGGTGGACACAGCTCATTTTACTGGAGCGTGTCTGATCCCCCCTTCCCAGATGTGCAGCAGCGAGTACTGTAATCCCTAGTGAGCACAGCCCCTAATAAATATAGTCCTAAGGCCCAAACTCAACCTGGTGGGGAGCGTGACCCTCTCAAGAAGGCATCCGACAGGCGATAGCTCCTCACCCACCAGACTGATACAGGACTTCTTTTTCCTGCATGTACAAGTGAAGCTTGAGTTAAAATAAAGCAGGCACGACTGGTTGATCTGCCCCTAAACCCATATGAGATTCAACTGTTCGTGGTTGGGCATATGCCTTCCAAGTCCCCCAAAAAGGGTACAGAGGAGTTTGGAAAGAAATGCAGTGTTGCTAAGGACGAGGCGATGCCTCCCTGCACTGAGACTCCTTGGGGAAGCTCACACAACAAGTAGGGCACAGACGTCCACCAACCCCAATCCTGCTCCACGCTAGCTTTGGGGCAGAGTTATGTGAAATACTTCACCTCTGCTTCTCCTCCTCTCTGCACTGGTGCAGAGCTGAAGCTTGGAGGAGGAGGAGGAAAGGCAGGCCCTCAAATCTGAGGCTGGCTTAAGCATCCCATCCTGGGAAGAGACCCAGGCTCCCTGTTAAAGCCAACGTTTCCAGCACCTCTCCTTGCAGGGCAGCGAAGGTGCCAAAGGGGCACACCCCTGCTCGGGACACACCGGCTGGCACAAGAATGAGGGGCTGGCGCTGCTTGATGCTTGCTCCATGAACGGCCCTTTGTGGCGAGAGGGCGAGATGTGGTACGGGAACTCCCACCAGGGACAGCGAGCGAGTCCAGCACATGCGAGAGGAATAACAAGCAGCTGGAGATGGGCTCCACAGATGTCTAGTTTGGCCTTTAAGCTGTAACAGCGGCCGAGGCTGCTGGCTTGTTGGCAGGTTTGCCAAGGTGCAGAAGGCATTAATTCAGCCCTTTCCTCCTGTTCTGAAAAGAATTTGCCTTGCTGTTTTAATGGTGGTTTACGCACGCCTGTCCTGGGAACAGGGGAGAAATCTGCTTTGGGGTTCTCTCCTGGGCATCCTGTTAATTTAGTGGAGCTGCAGATGCCTGGATCCCAGCTGTTAAAGAGTTTGGGGTCTTTTTGGTGGTGGTGATGGCTTGGGGCTGGGTCCCCAACCAGTATATAAAGAAACAGAGGAACAGCTCTGCAATGGGGAGTGAGCAGTAACACCGAACTCTCAGGCAAAATCCTCAGTGCTGCAGCAGGAGAGCTCAGCCAGGCTGAGGGCTGGGACACCAAGTGTATCCCAGCCAGATATTAATCTGAATCCACCTAAACCATTTTCGTAGCTGCTGACTTCTAGATACCTCTATTTTCTCCACCACGAGCACCCAGCAATGTCCTGGGTTTCACTCCTGCTAAACTGTCTAAGGGCAAACACCTTGGTCAGATCCTCCCTTGGTCTGAATGGAGACACAGCGTCATGGTGTACGACGGTCAGGAGATCACAGGGGGTGGGAGTGATGGGACATGGATTTTTCAGCAGCATACTGTAAATCGTAAGTCTGACCAACTTTGCTCCCAGTCACTGCAGCTAGTCCTGAGCAACAGAGTTTCCTTCTGCTCACTCAGAGTCTTTTTTTTATGAGTTTCTCCAGTTTCCGTATCCGAGAGGACTCCTGCTCGGGCGTAGGAGCACTCAGCGAGAGGGAGCCGGCGTTCTCCACTCCGGAGGGGGGAGCCGGTAGGCGCTGGGGCCTGGGTTTCACTCCTGCTAAACTGTCTAAGGGCAAACACCTTGGTCAGATCCTCCCTTGGTCTGAATGGAGACGCAGCGTCATGGTGTACGACGGTCAGGAGATCACAGGGGGTGGGAGTGATGGGACATGGATTTTTCAGCAGCATACTGTAAATCGTAAGTCTGACCAACTTTGCTCCCAGTCACTGCAGCTAGTCCTGAGCAACAGAGTTTCCTTCTGCTCACTCAGAGTCTTTTTTTTATGAGTTTCTCCAGTTTCCGTATCCGAGAGGACTCCTGCTCGGGCGTAGGAGCACTCAGCGAGAGGGAGCCGGCGTTCTCCACTCCGGAGGGGGGAGCCGGTAGGCGCTGGCGGAAGAGGTCCAGCATGCTGCTTTGCTCGCTCCTCTTCAGACCCTGTGGGAGAGCAAAGGGATGGTGAAGCAAGCCAGTTAGACTTCATTGACCTGGGAGCGAGCAGGAGAACCCATTTCAAACCTCAACCTTTTGTTCACCCACCACGAGCTGTGTGTAGACCTCTGAATGATCCCGAGGGAACTGAGCTCAGCCCTGGGAGCCGGAGCAGGTACAAGCATGTGAAGCGAACTGAAAAGCTGTTCTTCAGTAGCAACCCTTTCAGAGTACAGAGGATACACTTGCCTTAGAGTGCTTTTCCCACTCCCAAACCCCTCTATACTTCTACTGAAAAAAAGTCACCAACAATCTCAATGCGGTGCTACCAGATGAGCAGAAACTCTGCGGGACTGGTTCTAACCTTCATGTCCAGTATCTTCTGGAAAGTGTCGGTGCTGCAGTCAGCAAGGAGCTTGATGTAATTGTCAACAAACACAACTGGGGGCTCATGCGGAGCCATAACCACCTGCCAAGACAAGGGGGGGGGGGGGAGAGATCAGACAGATTCCATGAGTTAAAGCCAGTGCTCAGTCAACTCAGGCACACAAGTGACAGCAGGGCTGGCTTCTCCTCAAGACGCTTAAGGAAGAAGAAAGAGGCTGTACGTGCTGCTAGTAACTGAGAGGTAAAGGTGAGTGAAGTAAAGAGCAGTGATGAGGACAGGGTCTCTTTCTGCACAGCGGTGGTGCTGGACCCAAGGGGCTGTGTATCACGTTTCAAAGAGCAGCAGAACTTTGTCTGTACGCCTGTGGGCTGGCAGGCACTGGCGTATTGGCAAAGCTCAAGATTTTATCTTGTTGCACAGGGAAGACTAACCGGGCAGTTGCTTGGGGGAGAAAGGCAGTGC